TCTTTGTGCGGCACCAAAAGAAGTACAGTAGGGCTACGATGACGAAGACAGAGACGCCTGCGATGGAGATGCCTGCGATAGCGCCCGCTGAAAGATCAATTTGGGTGTCGTTGTTCGTGAGGCCAGCACCGGGTGTCTTGTGAGTACTCTCCGGTGGGAAGGGCTCGCCAGGGTTAAGCATGTAACTGCTGTCAAGCGCCATTTTGTGTCTAAATAACGGTGTACTGAGTCAGTGTATGTCTCACATGCAGTGCGTACCGATAAACCTACTGTTGATCGATGCTCGTCGTGGCATTCGGATTGATAACGCCCACCATGCCATAGCCTATGCAAGACCCTGGTGCTGAGCAGTAGAAAAAAATGGGATCAGTGTTTTTGATCTCGATGCTGTAGGTGGGTGGGAAATCAAGGACAGTGTCGACGGGCTCGAAACCGCTGAAGAAACCAGTTTTACCCTCCCCTGTCATTTCGTATGGGATGCATGGGTAGCCGTATTCTGCGCGGACAACACTGTGATTTAGTGGATAGAAGGCGAACTCTATTATCTTTAGCAAGTTAGTATTTCCTCATCTGTTGATATGTGTACGGAGGCCCGATCGAGATGACGAATGAAACTTCTACTTACATCACCTACACTCGCATTTGTCGACTCGGGTCTGAATTTGTGATCCGCTAGACCGACTGAAATAGTGTGTGTCTGCGCAGCTGCAGAGCTCGTCGAGGTTGACGCGCTTGCTGTGCTCAACGAGGCTGTAGGACTGTCACTGCTGAGGCCATCGTTGCCTTGCGCTAGACATATCGAAGGGAGAAGGCTGAACAGCAAAGACAAGATGGAGAGTACAGAAACTCGGGACAACATCATCAGTGCTGCGATCGTCAAGATAGCAGTATGAAATCTGAGAATGGTTCCGTACGTGCAGAGAGGACGACGGAAGCTTCAAGAGAAAAGAGGACCGTGGGGCTGACGAAGACGAAGATACCAGAGTGAAAATCAATATTCAAAGACGCAATACGCCAACCTATCATGGCAGGGGCGCTGCAAACAAGGGATCGTAAACAGACCAAGCGGCCAAATTGACGAAAAGAACAGCACAGGATGAGACATGTACGCCATAATCATGGTGGTACGTTTCTGTGGCTGTGGCGTAGACATGAGATTGCTATTCGCTGAAAGGCGGCTAGAAGTCGGCCTCAAGGGATGCTACGACAAAGAGTTGTGTCTTTTGCAAGGGTTCGGTGACCTCATGTGATGATCGCAAGGGCGACAAAGGTCAACAAAGCTCATCTGTCTTGTATCTCATCTAGCTATGCATCTGGGAATGTGGCCACCGTACAATCTGCTTGTGAAACGGACCAGGCATATGCTTTTGCATGTGCCCACTCGGACGCGTAATTTGAAGTTTGGCAATGGCTCAGGATGCGACTGCCCCGCCGCGTCGGAAGACCAAGGACTACGTGCATGTAAGCAGAACAACATCCACTCATAGTCAATGGCACAACTCGAGGCGTTCATTCCCGCATCAGTAAAGGATGACGGTACGCGTTCCTTACTCGCACGACATGTAAGAGAAAAAGACCCAGAACGGAAAAGCACGTGAAGGTATTGAGTTTTTTTAACTGCTATACACATCTGGGATACAAGGAGAGGAGAGGTCCAAAAAATCGTACCATATGGTGATAACATAGCCCAATATGGCTTGGTATATTCCGCGCTGTTCGCTCGCATTAAATCATAAGCTGTCTACATCGTCCATCATCAAAGTCGTATGCTGTGGCAGCCTGGAGTCATCGAGAAGGTCGCGCTCGTCATTGTCGCTAACGACACCGCGTCGCACGCGACCTACTCTGTGTTGGATTGGCCAAATGCAAAAGTGCAAAACTGAGCTCTCAGCGGAGGCCCGGGTCGCCAAAACCGAATGGATCGTTGCTCGAGGAGCTATTGGACCCCGAAACATAGCCCGATGGTGCCGCAGATGCTTGTTTGCCAAACCCAGGGTCTGGCAAAGGATTCCAGACCGGGAAGCCCTCAGGCGGCTGACTCTCCCCTAGTGGCTTACCGCGAGCATAGTCCACGAGACTGCCGTTGATGCCAGTAAGTGCCCAAGCAAAGACGGCGACATCGCGAATGCTCTGCATGAAGTTGTTCTGGAATTCCATAGACGGCCCCGCCTGCACCATGGCCGGGTGCCGAGCGCCAAGAGGGTATTGGGGCATTTGCTGCGGAGCAGGATGGAACACGGGCTGTGTTGCCCATGGCGCGGCGTAGATACCGTTGTATTGCTGTGCTGTCTGGGCCACCGGCATGGTGCCTGGCAACATTGGGCGGGCACGACGTAGACACACAACCAAGCCATCTGAGGTGCAGGATATGACAGCCTCAAGTTCGATGGGATCGTCGCGGATCTCGGAACGAGGCGAGCTCACGGACGATAACGACGAGCGGGCAGCGGATCCACCGAACATGGCTTGGTGGGTATTGTTGGGGTCATTGTTCCCGCCAGAGTTGGTGCGCGACGCAGACCGCTCTTCACTGTTCTCCGTGGTGCGGTTTGAGTCTGACGGATGTCTTGTGCCGTTGGACGTGGAATGGCCGTCAAGGTCCACTCCGCCTTCAGATTCGTCGTCGGAGCCCGTAACATCCGTCATGATGTCATCTTCGCTCTCAGACGAGGAAGCTTCAGGCGCATCGTCCTGGCGCGGGTCCCGGAAGAAAAAGCGCATGTATGCAATGGAATCGTTGCCTTTGGCTGACTCGAGACAGCGGACTGCATCTTCAAGACAATTGGGAGCAATGCAGTAATAGAAGCTGCGTCCCTTCATAGCCTCTCCGGAGATGCCAATGATTTGCTCGATTCCACTGGTTGCGTACATGACGGTCAGGGTACGCGTGAACCTGTTGAGGAACAAGGCAGCTCGCGGCTCATGGGTCTGATCATCGGGGCCGAGGTCAAACTTGCTGGACAGGTGAGACAACATGTGGTAGCGCGGGTCCTTTGGCGACGAGGCGAATAGCTTGCGCACTATAGGAGCCTCGACTGCGCGTTCTGATTGGCTGGAATCAGCATGACGCAGGGCCCAAACGGGTTAAAAGACTTACTTTGGCTCTGCATGCCATGTCTGTAGATGCTGGTGCAGCAAACGAGGACATCGTAGACGACGGAGAAGCAGCATTCACAACCGACCCATTCGCCCTGGCGGTTCTTCAGGCGGCAGTAGGACAAGACAGCAGCCTTGTCCAGTCTTACGCCGCGGCTGTGGTGGGCCCTGGCCAGAGGGAGTTCCTCTGGATGAAAAAATTGCCACACGGACCGATTGACTACCTCGTCAGGCGTGTGACCGAGGATGTCGACAATGGAGTCGGAAGAGTACAATATGTGGGCGTCATCGGAGAGGTCTGTCTTGGGTGAGAATTGGCAGGCAGAAGGCAGGGTCGACGTGACAAACCGTGAATGGTGATGAAGGTGGTATCCATGGTAGCAAGAACGGGGGTGGTGGTCGTTCCTGCTCTACCGCACGCGCCCTGGTCTGTCGAATCTAATAACTCGGTCTGGGACGGGCGGTGGAAATAAGAGCAAGTCGGGCAGTCGAGGCGAGGGACGACAGGCGGGTCAAATAGGCAGGGTCCAGGTGGCACAGAGGCGCACAGGTGCGGGTAAGGTGTCTAGAGGCCGTTCAGGCGGTGCGACCAGAGCACGGGGTGGGATGGGATGGGATGGGATGCAGATGGCAGGTCGAAACGTATACGAGTCAGGAGCTATGATGTAATGGGCGATCACGAAGCAGCAGGCGCCCCTCACCCGCGACAGGGCAGGCGCGGGCAGCAGCGAGGAAATATATGAGAAAGGTCGCGGACTTGGGCTGCCGGAAGGGGCTAGCAGCGAGCAGTTGGGTCGGGTGCATAAATAAATCAGCGGAGAAGGAGCGGAAGCGTGACGACGGCCAGAATGGCGGGACCGGAGGGGCGCCAACGGGCTCAGCAGCGTCTGTGTCGGCAGGCGGGCCAAAGAGCGGGCGCAGCGAGTAAGTAAGAGGACGGTTGCGACAGGTGGATGTAGTGGAGGATGCGACAGGCGGCGTGGCATGCAAGAGAGGTGCAGAAAGTGAGCTGACGAACTGCTCACCCTTGCCACGCCCAAGGATCGACGCGAGACGTGTGCGCAACGGCGGTTAGCAGCTCGTCGGCAGCGGCGCGGGGCACCGGCAGTCGCCCTGCACCTCTGGTCGAAGGAGTGCGCATCAGGCCACTCGGGTCAGGACTCAGGACTGCCTCGAGTCGTGCCTCCGCGCGTTGCAGTTGCACACGCCGGGTGTGCTGAAAGCCCAACTGTCAATCCATGCGACTGGCCTTGGCGCGCCCGACGTCGATGATGCATATCCATATCCATTCCATGGCCGCCCAGGTGCCTGCATGCAAACTTTAGCCTAGCGCCACCAGAACAACCACGGCCAGCCTGCGAACTGCGAGCGGATGCCCCTCCGCCAGCGCTCTGGCAAACCTACCGTGCCTACCCAGGCGATTGCCGCTGCCCACAGCATCGCCCGGCCTGCGCGTCTCCTGCCTTGGTCGTCCCTGCCTTGGTCGCCCGGCACTGGGTCTAGCGGCGCGTGGTACGGACCTGTTACTTGTCATCCCAAGCCCTCAACCGAACAACATCATCGACGATCCTCCCCAAACTACGCCACAAGCCACATGCAACACCCTCGCTGCCTCTTTCCACTGCTTCGCCGTCTCCGCCTGCGGGCCCCCGCCTGATTGGCGGCACCACCTCCGTCCGCCTGCTGCTCGCCGCATGTCTCTCTTTCACCTGTTTGCTGCAAGTGATAGCTTAATTTCCATGACACTAAAAGCCCTGTCCCTCGCCCTCGCTTCTTTCTAACCCCCGATTGGCACACACAACCTTGCACTTACCTTGCACTTGGGCTACCTCACGAGACCCGCGCCCTGCATATCAGCCATTACGGCTGTGCTTTCCGAGCTTTCCCATGGTATGCACGCCAAGATGGACTGCAACTTTGAACTGCCTTCGCTGAGGGCCACTTTGAGACTAGGCGTAACCCATGCCTCTCGTCCTGCGCGTAGCCACCACTAACTCCTCGACAGGCCCCAACCAAGTCTAGGCTGAGCTCTAGTGAGTCAGGAAGCATGCGCGTCAGCCGTCACTCCATGCAATACTCATCACGTTGCAGCTCAGTTCTACGACGTAGACTTCTATCCCTATACCGCTCCCGGCCAAGTCCCTGTTTTTGCCGTGTGCGGAGGTCCATTTGTATGTATCACGCTGTGTGCAGTCTGCCATCTACTGATTGGCCAAGACCATCATATGTCGGTGTAAACTTGACAGCAACGGCACCGTCGAGATCCTGCGGTGGTTTGAAGATGACGAGACCACTACTGAACACGGCACGTCCGACGATAAAGTAGGCACGTACCCTCTGTGCGCGACCTGTCTAACCATCACCAGGTCAACTACAACAGTATCGTATGGTCTCAGGCTGAAAATGGCGACCCGCTCGTCTGCGTCACAGGAGACTCTCGCATCAAGGTCTTGAATGTCCAGACCGGGGAGCTCACAGCAGTACGGGCCATATCACTGATTGTATTGCATCCACTGACCTTGCACCCAGACGCTGATAGGCCATGGCGATGTATGGATATCATCTGTCGTTTGCGGCGAGCTGCCTTCCTAACATCCTACAGTCCGTCAACGATCTCGCCATATCGCCGATAGACCCGACCATTCTCGCCTCCGTGAGCATTGACCATAGTCTCCGAATATGGAGCCTCCACCCCGACCACGAAAAGCAGCCCCTCGGAGCCATCTGTTACGGGCAAGGCCATAAGGACCAGGTGCTTACCATTGTGTGTGACCTGCAAATATGCCCAATTAATATACTGATATTGGCAGGCATACCACCCGAAAGGCCGGTACATCCTAACAGCGGGTATGGATACCAGGATCAATTTAGTAGGATGCACTGCCCCGGCCTACTGACTGCTTGACAATGCTCTGACAAGTCCAGTGGGCAGTACCCGAAGACCTCAAGGAACACGCTGGTACCGACAAGCCGGCCATAGTGCACTATCCGCACTTTTCCACTACCGAGATACACACTGACTTCATCGACTGGTAATGATCCCCATTTGAAACCGACCTACAGTTACTTACTTCATGCAGTGTCCAATGGTATGGTGACTTGATCCTCAGTCATGCGTGTCGCGAGAACAAGATTATACTTTGGGGTATCGATCGATTCAATTCCAATCGGTCTACGCCTCCTGCGCCAGTCCCCACATCGAGCGCGGTCCATAGTAGAACCCCTGTCACAATTCCAGCGAACTCGACCTCAAGTACACGGTCGGCATGGGGCGGACGCTTCCAGAGACTTCTGCAATTCGACTTGCCGCACACGAACCAGTTCTACATTCGCTTCTCCATCTTTCACGAGCTTGGCCGCCATCCGATTTTGGTTGCGGGCAACGAGAGAAGCAAGACCTTCTTTTGGGACTTACAGCGCCTAGAGAAATCGGGTACCGGAGAAGATGACTCCGAGACTTCGAAAGGCTTACCGCTCAGCCTACCTAGACACGTGCGCGAAGGAAGCTCGGCATCTACTGCCTCATCTGCTATTAGTACAGGCTCGGGTAATACCAAGACCAAACAGAAGCGGCAGAATGAGCAGCCTCACGATCGAGGCATATCCGACCCCTTTCGCTCGATCAAAGCACACAAGATTGTCGAGACTCCAAAGTACAAAGCCTTCGCGTTCCGTCACTTCTCCTGGAGTCGTGATGGCCAATGGTGCGTCGGCGCCGGTGACTGTGGGACTATCAATATATTCAGCCGTTGGAATTCCCTTCCTCCAATCGATACAGACAGGGAAATACCTACACAGGAGGGTGACGGCCCACAGATCAGTCAGTCCAGCCGCACATCAACATCAGCCGCGCGCACGGACGATGTCGGACTCAGCACGAGCATTAACTGACATAGTACGAGCAGACAAAGACATGATCACGGACTCGCTGGACGGCCTATGTGAGGCACATGCACTCCGGCAGCAGATGGCCGCGGATCAAGGGGAACCTTTTGACGAAGACCTGCGACCTCTTCTCGATGAATATGTGTCCAGCTTGCCAAGTCACGAGAGGGATTTCGCACGTTCAATATGCGAACGGTGATTCAGATTGGGATGCAAACGGCTCCGTACGTGTGGATAGCTGTAAATGCGGTCTATGAGACAACCACGAATATTCGAACGCGATCGTTCAACTAACTAGTAGGCACGGTCTCAGCTGTTGTGACTCACGATAACGGCAGCATACGTAGAGAAGACGATTAATCTATTGTCATTGAGTGACAAGAGCTAGTTCACAATAACGAATGTGCGTTTCGGGGATGACAATAGCAAAGAGGTGGAGACGAAATGCTGGTGAGAGTAAGATCACAATAGGGTCGCAGGCAGCCAACCACGTTTTAGTGGTTCGTCACTCCAACAATACCAAACAAAAATAACCCATCATAAATACTGTCCCCCTTCTCAAGTATCCTTCCATCTCTAACACTATCTCCCAAATATTGCACCGTCTACCAACTCCATCACAACGTACCAAAACCTTTCGTACAATACCGACCACACCTCCCAGCGCTATCACAGAAAAGAGATACCATCACGTACAATTTTCGGCAAGCCACTACGCCCAGGCAGCTTGAAATTAATCATGCACGCTTGCAACACGCCAAACTCCCCCGACTCCGCATCTTCCACCATGTCGACTCCCACCACCGCGTCTCCAGACCACGTCGCGGCCACTCCCTCAACAATCGCAGAGCCCGTACCGCGCGAGAACTCCGTTCTCTGTGGGCACATAGGCTGCACGCGTAGCTTTCCAAGGGATTCAAACATAGCTGCAGGTCACAACGGCGATTACCTCTGTGCTCTACACTGGCTCGATTTGTTCGATGCGTGCCATGAGTTCTACAATGACTGGTGGAACTATGGTAATGTCCAACGGGGAGCCTCTCCAAACTACACCCCTCAAGGATGAGTGCGAAATCAAGGTGGAGAGGAAGAGAGCAGGAGACCAGCGACGCGGTTCGAGGGGCCCGCACAAAACCTCATCAGCAACAGCCACACCCTCCACGCTCATTATTAGTCTACTGCTGCGACGAGTACTTGCCATGGTCATGGAGAACTCGGAAATCCAGACATAAAGAACCCCTCAATTCCCACACTGCCGCGAGTGCGCAGCGCCTCCTCATCAGCACATCGGTGAGCGCAGAAACCCCCCACGCAAGCCAGCCCGAAAAAGGGTCCGCAATGTACGCAGCGCTTGCCGCAAACGCGACCAAAGATACGGCACAGCGGCAGCCCGCGCCAAAATCAATCCCGGTAGCCCTGCCGGAGAAAGAAACAAAAACACAGGAACGCGTCGGCCTTGCGCAGGGGCAGCAAGGCTTGCCGGGCATGTATTGTTTGGTACTACTTGCTTTTTTCGCAACACGTGGGCGCTACCGATATGTTTTATTTGCACTACACCATACTGCGCTTGCTGCAAGGCAACCATGCATCGTCTTTTTTTGTTTTCGAAGGACGTACAGTACTCATATCGAGGGAAGCTGCAGGACAGCCATGGACGACCAGGCGAGCGAACAAAGCGACAAGTAGCCCGAAAACACGGAGTACAGTCTGTTTGCTCGCCCATACCACGAGCAGGGGCTTTGTCTGCGTCGAGACTTCAAGCGACGAACAAAGGAGGCAAGACAGTAGGAGAGAGAGGGAGATGGTGTCTTTGAAACACGTTTGTCTCTTAGGAACTCTACGATAAGGACGTTGCCATATACAAAAACGAAAAAAATACATTGTACTGAGTCGGAAGATGATCAGTCCGAAGTAGCAGACATGTCTTCTCCATCATCTTTATCGTCATCATCAGCAGCAGCAGAACTGAACATCGCGTGTTCTTGCAAGGAGTGTACAAGTTTCCTTCGTCCAATCTTCCCTTCGGACTCACACTACCCGCGAGACTTCTCACAATTCATCTTTCCACCCGCTTCTACCTCTCAGGAGCCGCCGTCGATATGGATTGACAAGCTATCGTTGGCAGCATACGACATGCAGACCGCCAGCCCAACTTCAGGATCGCAAACCTCCGATAATACCGGTCACCGCAAGCGACGCAGCCTCGCTATTTCCACAGAAGGTCCCGGGACCGACATACGCAGTGCTTTTCCAAAGACACCGGGGATCTTGCGCTGCTCGAATATCCATTGCAGCATCCGTCTTCCTATCAGCTCGGGGCTGGCTGCTACAAAAAGGTTTCCTGAAGGTCCACTGTGCTCAGAGCACGAGGAGCAGGCGGTTCGAAAAGGATTGGATGTGGTTCCCCTCGAGAGCGTTCTCATGTTGGACCAAGTCTGTGGAAGCAACTACGGGAACAAAGTTAGTCGGTCGGGCTTGGGTAGCAGGAGTAATAGTTCAGCTTCCTGGAGCAGCCTGGCTTCTTGGGAAGACGACGATGCGGAGTTTGAGTGGGGTGCAAAGGCATTCGATTCGAAGCTTTGCTGGTGATTTGCAGTTATCATCGCTGTCGCTATTAAGCAATGGGAAATTTTTGGCATCGATTGTGTCGCTGGCATGGCGGAGGTCGTCAGTGACTCGTCGTATGTGAGTTGTTGGCGAGCTATCGCAGCACTGTAGGATGGCGATGGTACTAGAGTTTGGAATCGCGCACGCAGAATCTGCTTTGCCATGGAAGGATTATCGAGCTTTGCCTCGTTTTAAGGAGATTGCAGGTGGTGTTATTAGCAGTGAAATCGAATAGCAAAGAAGATTAGTTTTCTCAAAAGAAGTATGCACACCATACCATATGGCGTGAAAAGCGAAATAACAAGTTGGATGAATGAATGGATCCGCACTTTCCCAACGAAAGCTGGTATATAGCATGAGCTGAAGCTGCCCCGAGTACGGAGTGTTTCATCGACATAAGCCACATTGATGTCTTGAGCACCTGAACTTCGCATTCATGTATCAAACGAGATAGTCGAACTCGTCGTATACATCGTATTGGGTCTCACCACCCATCTCATGCATCCACTGTATGTGTTCGGCGACCATTTCGTCGAACAAATAATCCGGGAGTGAGTCTTCAAGCCATGCTTGCTGCATTGACGCATCGCAAAGGTAAAGGTGCCGATATAGCTCCAGTTCATAGGCCTCGTCTTCATCCTCATCGGGCGCCATGATCCAGCCATCGCCTACTCCGGTCGCAGCCAGCTCATCCCTCTCGTGAGTTAGCGCTGTGATCCAGACATCTTCGCTCTCGAAATAGGATCTAGAGTTCTTGCCGTGGCCATAGCGGCGATCTGTCTGGGCATGGCGATAAGCCTGCCTGGCGTATTGTGGGGGAGCTGAAAGAGAGCCACCCAAACGGGTGTGGAAGGAGCGGTGTGCGGCTGTGCTGCTGCGAGTCGCAGAAACGCCTAGCCCATCGATTGCGATTCGTTCCCCTGGAAAATCTGGAACAAACGAAAGTGTGGAAATGTGACCCGAAGAGGTCCCGAGACGCTGGTTTGCTGAGTCAGTTTCGCTTATCCATAGATCGTATTCGTCGTCATTGTGGTCAAACTCAATATCAAAGAACTCAAATCGGCAGAGGGGGCATGTTCGCTTGGTTTGCATCCACTCCGCAATGCAAGCGTCACCAAAAACATGCCCACAAGGTAGCTGGAGCGGCACCTCGGCATATTCGTCTCCGGTAGACGTGTAGTAAGGGTCTAAACATATGCAACACCGCTGTGGCTCGTCTGGGCCCACTCTCACCGGTGCATACGCTTGACGTCTTTCTTGGTGTCTGTGGCTGGGCATGTCTGAGTAGGAAGCTGGGGTCCAATAAGGCTGGCTGATTCATGAGGTTTCCACTTGGCGTGAACGCGATCGTCTGGTACCAGCCTAGAGGTACCAGAGGAACAAAGGCGGGGGTGAAGTAAGACCCTAACGCCGGTCATTGTACATGAAGCTTCGCGTTCCATACCAGACATTCTCTAGAGGACGAGTACCATGGTACACTGTGCGGAGCACAACGTGCCGCACTTTCCGATCGAACGTCTCTTAGTCAATTGCGGACAGTGCTC